TGCAGGGACCTCTGGCCTGTCACAGTCACAAAGAGGGTATGCCTTCGCCGCAAATTAAGGTGTAATTGTAACAGGGAGGCACACTGGTGCTAGTTTTAGTCTAGCTAGCACAGGTAACGGTAGTAGTGAAGACGCAGTAGCATGGATCCCAGCATGGATCAGCAATCCAAATACATAGGCAGAGTTCTCAGCGAACTTGTACTGGAGTAGGTAGTAGTCCACTCTGCCTCTTTCTCACTATCACTGTTACCAGTGCTAGCTAGATTAAAGCTAATACCTACCTGCACTGCAATCTGAGACCCCTTTATCCCCCTGTGGTAGTGTAAAAGGCATTCAGATGGATGTAAATGTCATTTGTGCACACTTCGAGGCCCCTTTATATTGCCAAAGTGGAGTACAGAGACCTTAGTGCAGGGGTAGGCAAACTTTTTGGCCCGAGGACCACATCTGGGAATAGAAATTATATGGCAGGCCATGAATGCTCACAAAATTGGGGCTGGGATGTGGGAGGGGGTGAGGGCTCCGGTTTGGGGTGCGGGCTCCAGGGTGGGGCCGGGGATGAGGGGTTTGGGGTGCAGGAGGGTGCACCAGGCTGGGATTGAGGGATTTGGAGGGTCGGAGGGGGATCAGGGCTGGGGCAGGGGGTTGAGCGCGGGGAGAGGCTCAGGGGCTGCAGGCTCCAGGCGGCGCTTATCTCGAGCGGCTCCTGGAAGCAGCAGCATGTCCCCGCTTCGTTTCCTACGTGGATCCGCGGGCAGGCGGCTCTGCGTGCTGCCCCGTCTGCAGGCCCCACCCCTGCAGCTCCCATTGGCTGCAGTTCCTGGCCAATGAGAGCTGCAGGGGCGGTGCTTGGGGTGGGGGCAGCGCGCGGAGTGGAGCCCCCTGGCTGCCCCTACGCGCAGGTGCCAGAATGGGGCCATGCAGCTGCTTCTGGGAGCCGCATGGAGTGGTCCCTAACCCTGCTCCCCAGCTGGAGCGCCAGAGCAGGGCAAGCTCCAGAACCCGCTCCCCTGCGGGAGCTCAAGGGCCAGATTAAAACGGCTGGCAGGCTGGATCCGGCCCGTGGGCTGTAGTTTGCCCACCCCTGCCTTAATGTAAATGAAAACCAGGACTCACATCATCCTCTGTTTTGTTCAGCACTGAGCTCACTGTTGGTGTTTAAATGATCCTTTTGTGGATTACAAAGATTTGGAGTCTGCCCTGTGATCTGTCTTGGCTTGCATTCCTGAGATGTATTTGGATGTTGTACAATAAAAGAACATCAAGACCATTTAAATGAAAGTAGGCTTTGTCCAGCAGAAGAGATTCACTTTTCACAAAGACATGAAGTCACGTCTGCCTTTCACACCTGGTTAAGTGAATCAACAAAAATTTTGTTGAGCCACGGGATTTGACTCTGCCTCTCCCTGAAAGTGTGACTGATATGGTGAAGAACAGGGCTGAATAAAAGGCTTGAATCTCTCAGAAAATCCAGTTCTCCAGATAAATGCACTTCATGTTCTTTGCTATCAGTTGGGATGAGAAACATTTAATTTACAATCACTCAGATCAATCCCGAAAGTTAACTTTGAGGAGCCTAGTTCACACAACTAGGTGAGACAGTCTTATGTTCATGAACATAGAGTTTGAAATCTAAGGTCCCAATCCTGCAAATATTTATGCACATGCTTAATTTTTTCAACTACAGGAAATCCCATGGGATCAGGGTGTAAAAAAGATGGTCTCCTGCCCTATATACCACATTACCTGATTTCTTTTATGTTTTAAAAGTGACCTTGCCTTAAAATTTCAGCAACATTAGTTACCATCATCTGAGGTGTCTCTTTTCTGATAAGGTCATGTGACCCTGTCTTAGCTAATAGCAAAACAGGGACCAGCGGTAGGTTTTCGAAAGTTCTAGTGAAATAAACATATCTGGCCTCAAACAATTCCCTCCCACCTCTGTGTCCCTTCATCTCCAGGATGTTGCTAAATCTCCAGCACATGTTCAAGGAGTCACAGCCACATATTAACAGGGAGGCCAAGAGTCGAAGCACAACTCTCCTGGACTGCAGTCAGAGGGTAAGGTGACGTAGGGAATTCCCTCAGTTGCAATTTGTTGGTGCGAGAGTCAGATGAACTTTACCCAGAAGTGGGATGATGCTCTGCCATTAAAATCCTAACATTCACCTCCACAGGCCCTGCAGTAACTTAAATGAAAAGATGCTGTGGTACTCAGTGTGGAGTGGCGAATGAGTTGTTAATGGTGCCTACTGTAGGGGACATATTTTTAAGGTCCCCACAGCTCCAAGGATGGTAACTGTGGACATTCTGAATTAAAGTAAGTGAAATTTCTATTTTAAAAAATAATTTCTACCTATATTATTGGCACACCTCCAGGGTTCCTTACGGAGCAGGATGGTCTGCTTATGGCATTGGACTGGGACTCAGGAATAGGGCTGTTTGGGGGAAAAAATATTGTGCAAAATGTTTTAAAACAGAAAAAAATATTTTATCTAAATTTTCCATAAGAAAAAATATATATTTTTGGCAGAAATTCAAATAATAATAATAAAACACTCAGCCAAAAGTTTTTTTTTTAATGTTTGGGTGTTCTGTTTTTTTATGAAAAAAATCCCATGGATTGCAGACATTTAGTTTAACCAAAACCTCAATTTCTAATTGAAAACCAGTTTCAGGAGATCTGGGTCTAATTCCTAACTTTGCCACAGCCTTCCTGTATGACCTTGTGCAACTCCCTTAAACTTCCCATGTCCGTGCCCCAACTACAACACAGGGATTGCATATCTTCTCCCACCCTTTGTATGTTTTTGTCTATGAAGTTTGCAAGCTCTTCAGGACAGGGACTGTGTCTCACTATGAGTATGTACAGAGCCTATCACAATGAGGCTCCAATGTCTGCTCTGCTGGGGCCTTTACATGCTATTGTAATATAAATAATTAGAGTGTGTAGAGTAATATTTATGGGTATTTTCATTTAAGCGGCTTTACACAGCTGCTTATGCATCAATACCAAGGTGAATCAGCATCTCATTGTATTTGATTTTTAAAGTGAATGGAAATTATGGCACCCGATTTATCTTGTAGCGTTACAATTGTGGTTTATAGAATATATTGTGCATGTTTATAGAGTTTTATTCTCCTCTCTTTGCCTTAGCATTAACAGGTGTGTGACACACACAACGAAGAATAGATTCTCACAATACCTTAGCATTAGTTAATACATTTCTGAATGCCTCCAAAGCATATTGGCACACTTCCAGATTATGTATTAGTTGTGTTGATATTATATCCTTATCTACAGTACACAGGCTCTAACACTGATAATTGAAATGTAAACAGACCTATAGTGTCAGGATACACAATCCTGAGTGTGTATTAGATATTAGATTAAAAGCACCATGATTTATTTATATGCTCTGAGACTGTAGGACTAGTTTCTTTAATGTTGATCCAAAAATCCTCTGTACAGGGCATTTCAATGCTACACTCTCTCCACCATCAAAGTAAACGGACTTCCTTTGACAACCGTTTCCTGTTAAGTTCCTCATCCAAGTAGAAGCAGTTTTAGAAAATTCTTATAAAAAAATACACAACTCTGTCAAAACGATTGTGTGTGTGTGTGGGGGGGGGGAATAAAAACATACAGCAGGCAACGGAACAGGCTTGGGGCCTATGCTATCTGGCTACATCCAGGATTAATCTGCACCAGGGTAAAGCTGTATGTGAAACAGATTAGTTCAGTCAGCAATTGAACATTTGAGCTTACACTACCAATGACATGCAGTAAAAAACAGTACTCAAGGGCAAAATTTGATTCCTCCTTAAAAGACAGAGAGCTCAAAAATACTGCATGTATCAGCTGTTAACATTTCTGGGACTACAAACAAGCAGGCTCTGTCACACTGACTAAATATAGCACAGCCAGTGTTGTTTTAATGCTGTGTGTACCATCTAAATTACTTGATTTTTTTCCCCCCTTGAATGATGCTATGACTCAGAGAAAACCCTCACTTTAGGGGATGTTAGAAGATGGAGGCCCTAATCCAAATTCAATATCTGAATACAGGGTTCAATTTTCCAGTGCTGCAGGCCTTTTTCATTCCCATAGTATCCAAACTATGGACAGCAATGTAGGGCAAGAATATATCAGGAAGAAGTAAAACATTTCATGTTTTAAAGCCTGAGGAACCTAGAAACACTACAGTACGGAATATATACCTTCAAAATGGTAGTTTAATTCACAGCCTCAGAAACATATCTGACGTTCTGTTATTTGTTTCTGCCTTCACCTCTCAGAGCAGTCTTGTTTGCATCTGTCTTAATAAGGTCAAAGCAAACTACATGTAACCGAAAGTGATAAAGTCTTTTCTGAACTGACATAATTTTCAAAAATTTCTAGCTATGAAGGTCAGTTTGACCATATGTCCTGAAAAGACTGAATGCCTGTATTTCTTTATATTAAATATTTTATTCTTAAACATATACCTGGTTAATCTTTCCCTCAGAAGCAGAGATGCACTCAACTACTAATCACACCATGCCATTATTATTTTAATCTGGAAACATCACATTATTTTTCTCTATTGAAGGTAATAAGCTCAGATAATAACATAATGTTAAATATACATTTAGGTAGTCAAACAAAGCTTTAATGATCTATACGTAATTTGCTAGGTATGTGGAAAAGGGGATGTTTTTTCAGTTATTCAAATGCTAAATACTCAGCTATGCACTTGCTAAATTCAGCATCTTAACTTGCCATCAAATGGTAATATGTGATATATTGAAATCAGAAGCAGATGTTGATGCAAAATCTTTCCCTCAGGATATTATATAACTGCATTTTTTTTTTACTGGGATCTTTGCATCAAAGATGCAGGATGCATTTTTAAAATGGTTACTCAGCTGAATATACTGTAAACAGTCCCACTTATTTAATTATGCACCATCTCATTTTTCATCTATTGTATGCAATTCCCTTTATGGTCTTTTCTTACCTTTATTTTCAGATTCTTTCATTCTCCTCTTCCTCCTCTTGCTGCAGATCAGCAGGAAGCCTAGCTGATTTGTGAAATGCTGACTTTTGATTTGTCATTCACGGCCAGTCATGGGTCATGGAGGCTATGTCCATCAAGCCAGGGCACTGATGTGTGATAATTGTATGCAACTGTGTCTGGTATTGGGTTATAGTTAGAATTATACAGAAGCAGAGAAGGATGAGGATGTAAGCAGACATAACACATTTTCTAAAATGTGGCATGGAGTAGGATCTGGAGTCAAAGGATTTTCCCTTAATTCAGTTCTGAATCAAGTTTCATTTAAAAAAATATATATAAATCCTTTGGAAAAAATCAGTGATAAAGGAGCATGTAGGCAAAACAGCATCCAAAAGGTGTTCTTTGTAGAGAACCTTGAAATCAGAAGGCCTCTAATAAGCAAGTGAAATGGCTTAAAAATGCAGATACATTCATTTCTATGTTTTGTCATTCCCCTGGGGAATGACACTTGTGGCTACAGATCATAACAATTCTAATCCCTTCTTGCATTAAACAATCAGTGTAAATCAAAAAAATATTATGGATTCAAGAGACTATATTGTAGTGGACTTGAAGCATGACACATGTTATGTGGATCTATAAATGCCCTAGCTAATTATTAGTATAACTTGATTACTATTCATCCCATAATCCTTAACACTGCAACTATGGCTGCAGCAGGAATATGAGCTATGCATTCTGTTTCTTCTAAGCATGACGTTTTCAAACTAGTTCCAGTAATAGTTTTACCTAGCCAGTGAGTGGGGGAGCACTTCAAGGTGCATTGTAGCGGTGCTCATCTAGATAGTGTGCCTGAAAGCAGCAGGTGTGAAATCCACAAGTCATGGAACAGCCCACAATCTATGAAACAGAAGCCTAAAAAAAACTATGGTATTTCCCCAGTCCCTTGTGGTGACAACCAGCCTTAGTTAATTAGCATATGGATAACTAATACATTTTGTAGGACTCCAACTAAGATTAGCCTAGAAGTATCACTGGGAAGCACTCTTCAAAATAAAACTTTAGAAGACTCTTATTCAGTTTGATAATAGATTTTTTTCTTTTTTTAAGATTCATTTCATAGTTATTGTTTTTTTAAATGTCTGTTTATCTATATTGGTACCTAAGGCTTTGTCATTGTCACTCATGCTGCCCACTTGCAATTGTACAGTGGCAGATTATATAAAATCTAGACCAACTGCTCTAAAAGTACAACCACTCTTGCTTGCACCATGGGGAATCTTCTTTACCTTTTAGCAATATCAGGCCTGTGACACACAGTTGAGAAATTTGGAGTCCGTCCATTACAAGATACACATACACCAGCCAGATTAAGGTTCATAAGAACAAAGGCCCAGTATATTTGCCAGCATTAGACATGGAATGTACATCATTATATGTGGGTTTTTTCCAGATATTGCCCCTAAGTATTTATATAGGACCTGAAGAGCCAGAGTTTCAGAAGAAGACCTCACTTTCATTGAATACTGAGTTATTTTGAAAATCTGGCCTGAAGCATCCGAGTGGGAGCTTGTGGGTGCTAAGATCTTTTGAAAATCTGGCCCAACTGTGAGTACTGAGCAGTTGAAAATCTGCCCCCGTGTGTGCCTGAGGCCATAAATAATTACAAATTTAGTGAATCACACTCCCAGCCCTAAGGAGCTTGCTTAATCCAAGATTATCAACAGAGCAATATGGTGGGTGAGATATCTTCTATTGGACCAACTTCTACTGGCGAAAGAAACACGCTTTCACAGAGCTCCTCTTCAGTTCTGTGTAAACTCAAAAGTTGCTCTTCACCAACAGAAATTGGTCCAATAAAAGATATTACCTCACCCACCTTCTCTCTCTCATAGCCTGGGACCAACACAGCTACAACAACACTGCAAACAATAGAGTGGGATGTAGAAGAAGGGGCACTTGCTGGAGAAGAAGTGGGAGCTTGTTCCAAGCACAGGGCAGCCATACTGAAGGTGGGAAGCTGAGAGTGCATGTGAAGGAAATGAAGGCTGTGCGTCTACACTAGTCTTTTGCAGGGGAAGTCTCACCAGCACCGTTGGGAGCACTTGAATGGATAGGGCATTGCCTTTTTTACCATCATGTCATCTATACCTGCTCTGAACAGGGTGAGATGACACCATGGTAACACCACCAGAGTCCTCTCTTCACTAACACTCCAACAGACTGTAAGGAAGTCCTGGGACACTTCCCCCGATAATCTAGCATAGGCAAGACCAGAGACAGCAGCAAGAGGAAAGGACAGAGAGGGACATAGAAAAGGAAAGTGTGAAAGATCCTGGTGTTGGCTGCGGCAGGGAAATGATGCCACAAAGCATTTTTCCTACTGTACATTACTCAGTCTACTCCAGGCCGCTACGCTAGTACGTTCTGAGAATGAGGCCCCTGAAGTGCTCTCAGGCCCAGCCAGAGGTTACTTGACTCTTAAGTCGATTTAGTTGTATAGTAGTTTGTCTTCCTGGAACAGCCCAGCTTCACAGAGCTCTCCTCCTTGTCCCACCTGTCTAAAGGCCATTGTACACAGGAGGTTGCTTGTAAGTATTAGACACTTTGAATATTCTGATAAAAATAAACCCAAACATCTCATGCTCCAGGATGAATCAGATACTACACCAGTGATCTTTGCAATTCCTATGCTTATTTTTCACCGTTAAATCAAGTTTAACTCAGGCCCACTACAGGTTTCAATGTACATAAAGAACAATTTCAGGCATGTTCTTAAGCATAGTCCATAGTGATAGAAATGGCATGAACTTGTTCTCTGTTTGTTTTCAAGGATCATCTTTGCTCCTACACAATGTACTCAGTTCCCAGTGAAACTTTGGACAGAGCACCACAGACACAAGTCATATCTCCCTGATTTGCCAAATCTCCTGTTAAATACTGACTCACTTTACTCGTGAATCAGGCTGGTGAACTGAAGCTTGACGAGTCACAGTTTCCATAACATTGAATACAGCGATGGCGATTAAGAAAGGTGTTTTATTCACAATATTTTCATTGCAGAAGCCTGGAGGAACATACCATAACTCAAATTGGGGGGGGGGGGGGAGGGAGTAGAACTCTGCTGATTCCTCCTGTCTCTTTCCTTCCTGGAAACTTGTCCGCCCACTACCCCACCCCAATCTTTCCAGGTGCTAAGTCCACAATGTCCTGGAGATGGTTGATGTTATAGTGTCCAAATACAGAACAGGCCAGCTCCTCTTTAGCTTATTTGATTCACAGTTGGCCTTAATATTTTGCACAGATTTGCAAAACAATTCTCTCTGTGCAACTTTATCCCCGTTTGCACAGGGATAACAGAAGGATTTAAGAGTGGTTTTGAAAGAGGACTCACTTAGATACATCCCAAATTTGACTAATTTTTTACATAAACATATGTTATGCTGATCAGACGCCTTCCAGCTCCCAGCTGCAGAAATGAAAGTGAAGTTTCCTTTCAATTTATGTCTTTACATGTGCAAAGGAAAACGGGCTAGAAACTTTGTCTGTAACTGGAATGTCCTTTACATCTCCAGTTCTCCCAAATCTGAGACGCTCATGGGTTTTTAGAGGGGCCCAAAGACCCAGCTCTGAGAAACATCACAGCCAAAAGGAACAATGAACTAAGTAGAATACAAGCAGTGAAGCTAAATTACTAAATATTTGCTTTTCATGCAGCTTGGTTGTACACATGGAATTCACAGGGGAGGGGAGCTGAACCACAGTATTCCACAAACAGCAAGGATTCATACAAATCTGGTTTGACTGGTTTGACAAACAAAAGACACTATTTTAAGCAATCTTGGTGAGTATGAGAGTGCTAAGCACCAGGAAGTGAGCAGATGCGTGTTGAAATATTAGGCTGTTGCTTCTGAAATTAAGGTCACCCAGATGAATTTCAGAGATTCCAGGCACCAGAAATTCCCACTGATGTCAATGGAGAATGTGGATGGTCAGCACCTCTGAAAATCAGACCTCTGGTGAAATGCTCTATGGCAGGGGTAGGCAACCTATGGCACGCGTGCCAAAAGCGACACGCGAGCTGATTTTCGGTGGCACTCACACTGCCCGGGTCCTGGTCACTGGTCCGGGGGGCTCTGCATTTTAATTTAATTTTAAATAAAGCTTCTTAAACATTTTAAAAACCTTATTTACTTTACATACAACAATAGTTTAGTTATATATTATAGACTTAGAGAAAGAGACCTTCTAAAAACCTTAAAATGTATGACTGGCACGCAAAACCTTAAATCTGAGTGAATAAATGAAGACTCGGCACACCACTTCTGAAAGGTTGCCGACCCCTGCTCTATGGTAATGCCTGCTGGCCAGAGAAGAGCGCTATACATGAAATGGAATGGGAGGTAACATGGTAGGAATTGGGGGACAGGTTTTAATAAGGCAAAAATGTAACCCAGAACTTGTACTATCCAGGCTTGGAATTTAATGACAGCACCAGTGAGAACTGGTTGAGCACAGACAGCCTTGCTGAAGGGAATAGGTGAAGAAAGCATTTGGGTGAGTGTTTGTTCCTGTAAGGAAATGGGCATTCACAAATAAATGGGAAAGTAAGCAATTGGTAACCCAATTCTTCTTTTGTACAGGCTTTTTAAACTCAAGATGCCTCCTCATATTACTACTGCCATTAAAAAAAAAATCCATAAAACCAACCATGCACTGCTCTTGCTCACTCTTTGTCTACTCTAATAGAAAAATAATTCCTGTCCCCATGGATGTTATCAATGAAGTCCTAGATCCCCTTCATGCACTGAAGAAATGTGATCTAATCTATTAGGAAGTGCCTGGCATAGCCATTCTTTGCTCACCATACAGGCCCTTTAGAGTTTCTGGCTTTGGAAAGAGGTCATATTTAAATTTTTGGCTGAAAGCGAAACCAAAAGCTACGAATGTTGGAGGTTCTTCCCGCAGTTCAAGACTGCTGAGCGCTGACTACAATCATTTGGAGCATTCATAGCATATGATCTGGCAAAGGCATGTTCAAGATCATTTTCTCATAGTGGGCCTGGTTCTGCATTGCCCTGAGCGTTATGTCATCATTTACAACTGTGTAAAGTATTACCTTGTGATTTACACAAGTGGCAGGGAAGAATCAGGTTCAGGCTATTGGCTCTGAAGCGTCTTACAACAGAAACTAGTGTACAAGATTAGCACCAAGACAGACATCCTGATGGTAGATTACCAAAGATAAAAGCAGTTAAAACCTCCACCAATAAGTGATGGAAAGAGAATCTTGAAGCAGGTGTGCTCCACTCTCAACAGTAGATTATCTGAAAAGTAAGTGCTAATCATTTACTGTAATAGTAGTAACATCAGTAACTTTCTAGTAATGACACTGAAAAGTACAGTAGTGCTAGAATTTAGCCCTTTCCTACCAGTAGGAGGTACTGGGGAGAAAGGAAGAGGCTTATAAACTGATTACCTCCCCACATGAAACAATAGCCCAACTCATACACATAGCAAGTGTTTTAACAAACAGTAACAAGTCAACAGGCTTCCTAGTATCAAGGGAGTTATGTGGACTTAAGATAAATTGTCACAATTATCACAAACGGTATCTTGACAAGTGACAGTTTAATGGTCTAGTGGAGAGAACCTAGAACTAGGAAACAGGATTCCAGGTCAAACCCATGCCACTAATAGACTCTGGGGCCTTGGATAAGTCACTTATAAGTATGCGTCTCCATTTACCCATTTGTAAAATGGGGATAAGAACACTTCCCTCCTTCACAGGAATCGAAAGATTTAATTAAATGTTTGTGAAATGCTTTCAGATTCTTGGATACAAAATGCTAGATGTAAATGCAAAGTTTATCATAAGAATAAAGTGCCTGTTTATCAGGTGTTGGTTTATATGTAGTTAGGCAACTTATTTAGGAACAGATGACTCAGCTAATCTGCACTCTCTGTTGTATCTAACAGCTGAGCAGAAAGGAGTGTTCTTTTCCTTGGTATTTTCCTTAGGACAAATACAATCATCTTATTAAATGTTGCTTCCCACTCCTGGAACATTTTGTTATAATTCCATATTACCCCATATTTGGTTACTGCAGTGTAAACTTGCCTTTGTGGAGAAATAAATTGTTATAATAGGCAAAGAAACCCCTTAGTGTGCTGTTTGGTTTATGATGTAAGGGAGAGCTCTAAAGCTTAGCAAGCTGACGTCAGGACTGACTCAAATTCAGATTTCACTACAGTCTCACTGCAATTCCAGATCCTTTTTTGATCTAAGGCTACATCTACACTACAGGGGAGGGGGTCGATTTAAGATACGCAAATTCAGCTACGCGAATAGCGTAGCTGAATTCGACGTATCGCAGCCGACTTACCCCGCTGTAGGGACGGCGGCAAAAATCGACCTCTGCGGCTTTCCGTCGACGGCGCTTACTCCCACCTCCGCTGGTGGAGTAAGAGCGTCGATTCGGGGATCGTTGGGACGCGATCAATCGATCCCCAAGAGGTCGATTTCTACCCGCCGATTCAGGCGGGTAGTCTAGACCCAGCCTAAGTCCTTTCCAGTGTTGAGGGTCAGCATCAGACTAGAACGACAGATGCCTACTTGTGTCACTAGAGTAACTAAATCTGTTCACATCTCTTCAATCAGTGCTCTTCCGAGTGCATTGAACCTGTTGAATGGTCGTAATGGTGGCTATGTGGTCTTCGTGACAGAGTGGCCCTGGTTCATTCAGTAATGGAACTACTGCCCATTGACTTCAGGAAGAGACACAAAGGTCACCCAGTGGAGCTAAAAGAGGAACCAGGTCTTGCCAATAAAAGACTTCAGCTGGGCAGATGCCTCCAGGCTTCTTGCAGTCACAATGATGCGTCAAATATCTCTTGCATTAAAAGTGATGCACTGAGAGTTCAAGAGACAGCAGAGAGGCAGTACAGTGGGGTACCACACAGACAGATGACCTCCCAATTAGGAGGCATGGTGTGGGGAGGAACAAAGCAGAGACAGGGAGCCGTGGGGAGAAGTGGCTAGGCTTCTTACTGCTACACACTGATTTCTTGTCTCCTTGATTAACGAAGACTCCTGTTTGAAAAGCTTTAAAACGGGTCTTGATAGGGACTCAGTCACCAGGATGCCCAGCCCAAACTTTCACACGTACGTAGAGAGAGGGGTGCTCAAGATAAATGGGGGGTAATCAATTTTGTTATTATTTCAATTGTTACATTCTGCAGAGATGCAAAAATGTATCTGGATTTCTGGACAATGTACACAAAAAAGTTCCCTGATGTGATTCAGTTGCATTCATGTACATTACACTATATGCAAATTCCTTCATTGGGAAAAATAATTAAGCAACCAGAGACACAATAACCCCAGGAGCAGAAGGCTGCATTACTATTAGAGGGGCAGGGGAAGGA